GCCACTAAATAAAATACTGCTAGATGCATTATGAATTCATTTCTCATTCTTTATAAGTCCCACTGCCGAGCCGCCGAGCCGCCGAGCCGCCGAGCCACTAAATAAAATACTGATAGATGCATTATGAATTCATATTCCGAAAAGTTGCCGATTAAAAGTCGATAAATAAAAACCGATTAAAAATCAGTGCCGAGCCGACGAGCCACACAGATTGAAAGCCACTCCGATTTGGGCCCTGTATTCTGTAGTCGCTCCAAAATTCATATAAAATGTGAAAGGAGTATTTACTTTAAGAAAAACTAGACGCTTGTAAAGCGTGATGCGGGCTAGCTTAGCAAAAGATTTGCAATACAAGATAAAATTGTATCTCCAATGAATATTGTGACTATGACGTAACTACATATGAAAGTAAAATATGCCGTAGAATACATTAGTTTTCTTTGCAGTTCAATTCTTATCGTGCACCGCAATATTCTTTWCTGGMAACTAATCGTTAACCTTCACTGTCTGCTATAATCTTATCATATATCAACTATCAACCATAATCTTTTTGCTATAGTGATTKTCCTACATTTGCAATGTATTTTGTAAAAATATTTATGGAAGCTCTTTATTTCTTGGTTAGCAATATCACATTATTATTTACATAGCAATGCATTTTAGATGACATGGGTGCATTCTATAAATTTTGTTTTTATTAGCCTTTCTTTCGTACAAAAGAAATCTAAAAATTGAAGCAAAASAAAGTTCAATTTCAAAACTTGTACTTTGTCATTTTTAACGTCTAATAAAAAACCCCGATGATATTAAAGCAATTTCTTTGAATTTGAACAATAAAAACATTGTCATTTAAACAGAAAAATACCTTTTGCTGTCTATAAATGTGGAAAAAGCCAGTACTTGAGCTGATTTCATGTTGAAGCTGTACTGAATAATCATCGAGCTGGACTGGTGAGGAAGGCGAGACTATTTTCGATGCAAAATCGTCTTAAAATGATAATTAGCAAGCTTGAAACTTCACAAATGCAATATCCTAGTTCAATTCTTCAATGAGAAMGCTTTTGGTATTTCTTGTTGATAGTTTTTGAGTACTTTTTTCTCTGTTATCGGCAAAGTACCCGCCATTTTGGATTCTTGAGAAAATTTTCAGTTCGAGAGAGACTGCAAACTAATAGATATGATAGATATGGCTTCCTGTGGTTCGAGAGAGACTGGAAACTGTTCGACCCGACAGAGTGGAAAAGGTAAAACTATAGCTGGCTAGCACAGCTAGCCCGGTAATAATAGAAATTATCACTGTAAATAAATCTTGAAATTGAGCAATAAAAATATTGTATTGTATTGTATTTTAGATCATTTTAGGTCATTTTAGATCATTTTAGGTCATTCCTTCTTTTAGTAACTACGGGCAGAAAAGGCAGAACGCAGAAAAGGCGTCATGGTACGCCAGGCAGAAAATGCAAAATTCGGAAACTTGTGATTTTGATCGCTAGGCAGAAAAAGCAGAAAGTGCGTAAGCGGAAAAGGCAGAACGCGGAAAGTTTTGGCAGAAATCGAACAACTTTGAATTCGACATGTAACACGGCATTTGTCGATACTTTTGAAGTGTGAGTGACTTTTTATTTAGATTTTTTATTTGTGTCTTTTTTTGCGTTAATTTTACATAACAAGAGTGAAAGACCAGTAAATTTCTGAATGTTTGGTAAAGGAAAAGTAGAATTTCGTTTATATTTTAGAAAATCACACCAAATCTAAAACAATATAAGTTTACTTATTGATAAAAGACAACTTCTCGCACATTTTGTTGTGTACACCAACATCGTGCGCAGGGCCTTAACCTTTTGAGTCTCCTACGCATAACGTGTCCACATTACTTAACAAAACATGTATAAGCTTACCTTAATANTAAGGGGGGAGCACCACAGCCTTTAGCCTTTTGAAAGGGGGGCACCTTACAGAATCTGGTGTCTTGTAAAGGGCAATTTAAAAAGAACCATTGTCATCTAATTAGGCTATGATATAATAGATGCTAAGTCAATTTTGCGATGCGCACGAAGTTTTGCATCATTTTATATTTCTAAACCCCTGATCATGCATGCTAAAACAAAACGGATTTGATTATAAGAATATYGCAGGTTCAGTGAATCTCTCACAGTGCGTAAYTTCGAGTCTTCATTTGAGTTGATTGCTTMGCTGATACGATCAAATGAGCATCTTGTAACCTCRAGATACCTGGCCAAAAGAAGGTGGTCTATGTTTTGATCAGCTGCCAGGCAATCAATGGCATAAACKTCTGCGGTTRCCTTTGCAACTCTCATCCTTGCCGCTAAATGGTTGAAGTCTTGATCCTCACTCAGATTTCGCAAAACAAACGCTTTGTTCGCTGAAGGGGCATTCTTGCCATACATTTTGTAAAGCTTTAGYTCCTATAAAAGAGCACAGGCCTGCTGTTGAACTTCTGAAGTWCTATACAGCGTGAAAGTTCTTATAAAAGTTACTAACCTCTGGAGTATAGTTTGCCTTTATTTTTGCGGCAACATCCGATTCGGCAGAATTCGCGGGTCGTTTTCTGAGTTAAGAATGTTGTTTTTAACGCAAATATTTTTCGTGGAAATCACAACGAAARTACTTACCGGCTTRCCATTTCTTTAGCTAAGAAACTTGTAAAAAATACACGTAACAAACTTTCTAAATGCGACTCTGTGTAAGTGGTTTTGAAGCACGCTTCAGTTTGTCCAGGTTAAGCTTCAACTCAAGGTATATCATGTAYCCTTAAGGTGTTMCTTGTTGCAAAGCGCTCCAATGAAATTCAAGTTGTGGTTGAAAAAGCTTCTTGAYGTTCAACAGATACACGGCGTCTACGAAAATCTTCAAATATAAAATGTTCCCCACATAGAAAGTTTTTGAAATTTAAATATGCTCGAAATAATAATTAAACGAGTTCTCTGAAGATGYATTGGGTAGTGGATCGCTCGTTTAGAACAGCGAGAGCTGAAAAAAGTTTGAATTTGGCGCTTTTGGGGTATCTGACCAATAGCTTTTAAGAATATAATCGAATTAGCACCATCGCAATAACAGCTCCCATCGCCGCGGATCCACTGATTTGCTATCGTTCTTAACAGAATCGTTACTTCACTATGAACTCAGTTAATATTGGATGTCAAATTATAAACTTGGATGTCGAAGTTAAACTTGGATGTCAAATTAAAAACTTGGATGTTGAATTCTAAACTTGGATTTCAAATGTTATTCTTGGATGTCAAATTATAAACATGGATCTTGAATGTAAAACTTGAATGTCGAATTTAAAACATGAATTTTGGCGGGGATATAACGCCATAGAAAAGGCGTCATGGTACGCCAGGCAGAAAAGGCAAAATTCGGAAACTTGTGATTTTGATCGCTAGGCAGAAAAAGCAGAGAGTGCGTAAGCGGAAAAGGCAGAACGCGGAAAGTTTTGGCAGAAATCGAACAACTTTGAATTTGACATGTAACACGGCATTTGTCGATACTTTTGAAATGTGAGTGACTTTTTATTTAGATTTTGTTATTTGTGTCTTTTTTTGCGTTAATTTTACATAACAAGAGTGAAAGACCAGTAAATTTCTGAATTTTTGGTAAAGGAAAAGTAGAATTTCGTTTATATTTTAGAAAATAACACCAAATCTAAAACAATATAAGTTTACTTATTGATAAAAGACAACTTCTCGCACATTTTGTTGTGTACACCAACATCGTGCGCAGGGCCTTAAAGCTTTTGAGTCTCCTACGCATAACGTGTCCACATTACTTAACAAAACATGTATAAGCTTACCTTAANTGTTGGTTTTATCGGAGGTTCTTACATATTGTACCAAAAAATGACTACCAATAAAGCTAAGACTGAAACGGCAACACTAAAAGACCTTCATATCGATAAAGGTGATAGCGATGAAGTTGATGGTATGGAACAGGAGGGAAGCAAGAGGAAACGACGAAGCTTCAAGGCTAGACGAGTAAGTATAAGTTTGTATAATAAGATGATGTCCCTAGCAAGGAACTGGACCATGTTCCACGACCTCACATTACTGTGTCGCTTATCATTACAAACTCCAGCTATGACCTCATATAGGGTCTTCATGTTTCCTTAATCAGCTGCCCTTTGCGCCATGTCCATCTGATTTTCTAAGCAAAAGCTCTCTTGTCGGCTCTGATGCTTGACTTGGCTTTCTTTGTCTTTTGTTCTATACTTTTACCTCAACTGCTTAATTGTAATCTAGCAGACTCCTCCTTCTAGATGTTGTTTAATTTGCTTCCTTTCATCAATGCGTGACCAAGATCTTTCACTTTTCCACAGTTTACTCTTCTTGAGACCTGTAATCGTTGACCCTTGGACCATGATTGCAGCGAGTTTCCTCATTTTAAGCAACACCCGCAGACAATTTCATCCCCCCTGACCCCCTAAAWGCAATGTTGTCAWTSATCATRYYACCATAGTACACAAGCATCCAAAACAAGACTCAACATTGATGAAAGGGGGCTAAGGGAGAAAACTGTGAAAGGATAAAGGAGAAAAATGTTAGGCTGGAGACAAATAATTGTACGGCCACGATGGTAGGATGGTTTTGGCTGTTGACGTGTACATCCCTGTACCACACATATCTTGCATTTATATCCAATTCTTCTTCATCTTTGGCCTCCAATACCGCAAAGTTCTTACAAAGCTCCACAGGGAATTGCTTCCTGCTTTTGGGGTCACTTACAGTACAGTTAGTGTGTTGATGGTCTTCTTTAGCTTTAACTTGATCTTAGTTCTAACCAATTGGTGGTCAGAAGCGATATTAGCTCCTCGCACGGATCTCATGTTGAGAATTGATCTTCTAAAACGCTTATTTAAAGTATGAGGACATGGTCAATCTGTTTGTGAGTTCGCTTGTCTGGTGGCTTATAATACCTACACCTACAATCGTTGCCAAAATACCTTGGACCATACAATTATTTGTCTCCAACCTAACAATTTTCTCCTTTATTTTTTCACATTTTTCCCCCTTAGCTCCCCTTCATCAATGTTGGGTCTTGTTTTGGATGCTTGTGTACTATGGTAACATGATCATTGACAACATTGCATGAAGGGGGTCAGGGGGGATGAAATTGTCTGCGGGTGTTGCTTAAAATGAGGAAATTCGCTGGAATGGTCCAAGGATTTTCTCAACAATTGTATTCCACAATGAGTTCCTTGCATCCTTTGCGATTTCTAATATTATAATAGTATAGAAATTCTAAACTGTTCAGACAAACTGTCATTAAGATTATTTGCAGATGCAGTTAT